GTCACTCCATGAGTACTGATACAGAAAATCTCCCCCTAAAAAGAGCAGTGAAATCCACAACACCTACTTATGGTATACGCCTACTTATGGAAAAAAGTCACCTCTATTGCCTGTGTGTGTGTGTGTGTGTGTGTGTGTGTGTATTTACATGAACATGCAGAAAAAGATGAGAAATGACACAGATCAAACTGTTCACAGCAGATACTGAGATGGGGTGGGGTGGTGGTGTAAGAGATAAGGTGTGACCTTATATTGCTTACTTCTATACTTTTTGGGAATAATTTTTTTTTTTAACCATAGTATGTACTCAAGTAGTCCCTTTGACTACTTGAATAAGTAGTGTGTGATTAAAAAAATAAAACCGAAATTGAAAAAACTGAAAAATAAAAATTGAAATTGAAAAAAAATTTAAATATAAAAATTTACTTTCTGGGCTCGGTGGCTCAGCCTGTAATCCCGCGCCTTGGGAGGCTGAGGCGAGTGGATTGCCTGAGCCTGCGGGTTCAAGACCCGCCTGGGCAACTTGGCAAGACCTCATCTCTACAATAAATCAAAAAATTAGCCGGGCATGGTAGCGCACGCCTGTAGTTCCAGCTACTTGGAAGGCTGAGGTGGAAGGATCGCCGGAGCCCAGCAGGTCGAGGTTGTGGTGGCCGGGAGTGGCCACTGCACTCCAGTCTGGGTGACAGAGTAAGACTCCAACTCAAAAAAATAAAATAAAATAAAAATAAAAAAATAAAAAAATTTACTTAATAAAAGAGCTTTTATATACCTGTTAAAAAGACACGCTAAACTTTTAAAAGGTCAAATAATGTTAATGGGTAATTTACAAAAAAATAAAATGATCAATAAACATATAAAGTGATGTTTAATCTTACTAGTGACGAAAGAACCATCTGAACCTGCAGTACCCATTTCCTCACCACTCACTCATCTTAAACTACTCCAGATGGACTCTATTCCAATCTCCACTCCAAAACAGCTCTCACTAGGCTACCAGTGCCATCCTGTCACTGAATCCAATGGACATTTTCCAGCCCTGTTTTACTGAGTAGTAAGAGTCAAAGATGGAACCTGAGAAGTTGTCTTCAGACTCTAAAAAATATATATTATCTACCAAACTTCCTGGTGATTTGCTTTTAATTTATCTGTAAACTATTTCTCATACCTCATTGTTAACTCACCCTTGGTTTAGGATCTTTTACTAGGAAGAACAGCCTGTTATGCTTCTACATATGATGTTAGATTAAGCGGTTCTGCAGTGGCTTGCTAATGGAGAACAAAGTCCCCTGTCATTACTAATGAAGGAAACCAAGATCTCTACTCCGCTGGTCTTATATAAGATAATAAATGTCTTCCCCCTAATATCTACTTAAGCACTTTTAAAAGACTTTTATTGATAAATAATGCATGATACATTTTCCTGGGCAGAGAAAATTCCTAATGGGCTAATTATATCAAAGTCAATTTATGTGAGATATTTTAGGATACCCAATTCAGGCAAATGCTATTGAGGGTATATATGGCCAGGATAGCACAAGGCAAGGGTTTGGGAATAAAGGAAAAACAAACATGAGAATACATTTATTGAGGTTTTTAGAAGAATGAATTCTAATATTTTTCACCTTCAGTAAAAAGAAGAAACTTGTCATATTTTCTCAAAGATCTAATAATAATTACAAAAATCTCTCCATTCCTTTCTACTTCTGTGCTAGCCCAGGTCCTAACCACCTCTCCTTTTTATTAGGGTAGAACAAGGAGGGGTCCCCTTGATACCAGTCTCTTCTTTCTAAAAGAGCCTGCATGATATGTGTTGGACAGAATTATCTTTAAGAAAAGCACAAGCCGGGCTCGGTGGCTCAGCCTGTAATCCCGCACCTTTGGGAGGTTGAGGTGAGTGGATTGCCTGAGCCCGCGGGTTCGAGACCCGCCTGGGCAGCGAGACCTCATCTCTACAATAAATCAAAAAATCAGCCGGGCATGGTAGCACATGCCCGTAATTCCGGCTGCTTGGAAGGCTGAGGCAGAAGGATCGCCAGAGCCCAGCAGGTCGAGGTTGCGGTGGCCGGGAGCGGCCACTGCACTCCAGTCTGAGCGACAGAGTGAGACTCCAACTCAAAAAAAAAAAAAAAAAAAAAGAAAAAGAAAAGCACAGCCTTGACCATTTTGCTCTTCTGTTTAAAAACCTTTGATGAATCTCCACAGTCTATAATATGTCTAAAAAAGTTCTTCTGAGGCCAGTCATGGTGACTCACGCCTGTAATCCCAGCAGTTTGGGAGGCCGAAGTGAGAGGATTGCCTGAGTCCAGGGGTTCGAGATTAGCCTGGGCAACTTGCCTAGACCTCGTCTTTACAATAAATAAAAAAATATTAGCTGGGTGTGGTGGTGCATGCTTGTAGTTTCAGCTACTTGGAAGGCTGAAGTGGAAGGATCACCTGAGCCCAGCAGGTCGAGGTTGTGGTGGCCGTGACTGTGCCACTGCACTCCGACCTGGGTGACAGAGTGAGACTCCAACTCAAAAAGAAAACAAGTTCTTTCAAAAGGTCTTAGAAAGGCATTTAAGGTCTTATAGCATCTGATATTGATATACCCTTCTAAAAGTATGGCAGATAGCAATAATACAAGCATACCCTGAGAATGACCTGAAGTTTTATGAAGAAACTTGTTCAGAGTTCCAGGACAAGGAATCAGAAAGTAGCCAACCCAGAGGTTTACTCCTCATCTATGAAGAACACCTGCGCCCCCTGTCTATTCCCTGAAATGCAGGATGTGCAAAAAACGGAGGTCCCTTGTTTTGGGCTAGGTGAAGGTTGCTAAGTCAAGATTTCTATATAAATTGCATGCCTTTTGCTATCAGTCAGTACTCCTTACACCTAGATGTAAGTCCCCAGTAAAACTATATCTCACCTGTTGTTTCTGGTTCTATTCTTTGGTCTCTCAGACCCTGTCCTGTCCCTATTCAATTTGGTAGGGGTACAGCCCAATACCAACTTTATCCCTCTGGTCATAAAAAGCATGCTAAGGAATTTAGAGGAACCAGCAGATAGTCATGTGCTAATGTGCAGAATAAACCTGAGAAAGAAGAAAACTGACAAGTTTAGTAAAGAGGCCATGAAATACCGGGGTTGCCAAAAAATGTATACACATTTTAAGTGATGTCAAGAGATGTTTACCGTAATCAGAAGTGTTTGGATGCTGATGGCAACCACTTTGAACGCCTCTTGTAATTGCAGAAGTCAAATGTAACTTGTATTCATCTTATTGAGTACTATAACTTTAATACAGTTTTTTCCTTTCTTAAAATGTGTATACATTTTTTTAGCACCCTCTATAGTTTGAATGTGATACAGTGAAAGTGAACCAAGTTTGTAGTTATTTTAGTAGAGAAAGAGGGCCAGATTCAAGAGAAGCTTCTGAGGCAGATGGAATAAAAAGGATATGAATGGTGAGGATGAAAGAAGAATTAAGGATAACACCCAGATTTTTAGTTTGGGAAACCAGAGTATGCTTCAAGGGCAAGAAGATATGTAGTGTGTGATAAACTTAGTATTAGACATGCTTCATGTAAGAAATTTATATAAGTTCATATAAGCAATGTACCTCAGGCAGTCAGAGGTAAGGATTTGGGAATCACTGACAGATGGTTAGTAATTAAAGTAGCCCTCACCATAAAAGATCACAGAGGCAAGAGGACCAAAGTTCAAATGATCTTCAGGTGTTCATCAATTGTTCTCTTTTAGAAAAGGTTTACATTTTGCCTGAAGCTAACTGTATACGCACTGTCTCTCAATCCCCAGACTCTAAGCATTCTGAAACCAAGAACCCTGGGTATTTTAAAGAGTTTTAAAGAAGCCGGGCTCGGTGGCTCAGCCTGTAATCTCGCACTTTGGGAGGCTGAGATGAGTGAATTGCCTGAGCCCGCGGGTTCGAGACCCGCCTGGGCAACTTGGCGAGACCTCATCTTTCCAATAAATCAAAAAAATTAGCCGGGCGTGGTAGCGCGTGCCTGTAGTTCCAGTTACTTGGAAGGCTGAGGCAGAAGGATCGCCGGAGCCCAGCAGGTTGAGGCTGCAGTGGCTGGGAGCGTGCCACTGCCCTCCAGTCTGGGCGATAGAGTGAGACTCCAACTCAAAAAACAAAAAACAAAACAAAAAAAAGAGTTTTAAAGAGAGAAAAGACCATTGTATTGTTCTGGGGAGAGGCACTCAGACCAGGAGCTGATGCTCAGTATATGAGCATGTAATTCTTATGTTGTTAATATTTAAAAGCAAGGAACTTCGGAGAGTTCCAGTAAGTTTAAACAAAGGTGCGTTCCTCTTGCTCCTTTAATTTGTTTTCCATGTTTTTTGTATTATGTACGCTTATTTAATGAAAACACACACACACTCAAAAGGCTTAAAACATATTCAAGGAAATTCACACACACAAAATTCATCCAAGCAAAATTCTTCCAGACTCTCTTATACATAGTTTTGGTTGTCAAACTTTTTCAATCATATTGTACAACTTTGTATCGCGGCTTTTTTTTTTTTTCGCTTAGCATTCATTATATATTAGCATTTTAAAGTTTTATACATTAATTTTGAAGCCATTGCATATTCATTCAGTGAAGCGGCATAATTTACTGAACTACTCCCCGTTCAGCCACTTGGCTGTATCCAACTTTATCCTAGTATCCATAACGCTGTGATAAAAATCGTTTTGTATAACGCATATTCTTTATTTGGGATGACTTCTTTAGGCTATATCCCAGAAGTGTCATTCGTGAGTCACAAGGAATACAGTATAGTTTACTCGTTTAATCCCACTCCTGGCTCGATCCTCACTCTCCAGTCCCTCCCGCGCGGCCTGGCCTTCTCTCGCTCTACCCTCCCCGCACTACTGTTTTCCCTTTGCGACCCACTCCCCTAGGTCCCACCTCCCAAGTGCTGGTCCATCTACCTCCCCGCCTCCCCACACCCGTCAGGCCCGGCAGCAATGTAGACAAAAAAAAAAATACCTTGGTCTCACAATCCCACAAAAACCACGTCTCCCTGGGGTCGCCCCGCCTCGCGGAACCGTGGGTCAGAAGCGCCCAACAGCTACCGGAAGCATCAGCCAGCACTCATCTGATAGGTGAGCGGTGGCCGGGCATGCTCGGCAATTTCCATGCCTATTGGCTAATCAATGTGTCACGTTAGACGTGGGTCCTTCCTACCGACCAATGAGTGCAGGCTTTGTCGCACGGATTGCTGGGAGTTGTAGTCCCCGTGAAATTCCACTGCCCGCGAGTCCGCCACAATTTCTCCCTCCCTTAAGCACTTTAGTTCCTTCCCCCACCTCCTTCGGTTCTCTTGTCTAAGAAAGAATTCAGGATCCCAAGGATCATTACGGTTTCTTGACCTTATTTTTTTTTTGAGGAGGGAGGGAAAGAAATCGAAGACCTCTTTAAAATCTGATAAAAATCTCTCCATGAAAATGTTCTTATCTGCACACAAAATACTGTGCATTCAACTGAAGCCGCTTCGTGGTCCTGTCCCAGTTACAAATTCCCTTTCTACAACTACCCCAAATTTGCCTCCCAGGGCCACCGTCTCTGGAGCTAGCACATCCCTAGGCTCTTTGGACCAACTACACTCGTGGAAGACACTTGGCTACGCCTTGGAGCAGCCCAAGGGGAATTTCAGGTCCTGACCCTCACCGTGCAGTTGACCATCGTCATCTTTCAGGGATGCCCATCACCTGGTCTCTGAATCTGGCCCAGCCACCTGGGGGGGAGGGAATGGAGGAAGAACACCCCCACGGCTTACTCGGGTACCTGTGCCAGGCTTTATCCCCATGCCTATCTTTCAGCGCCTCTTGTCAAATCATACCTTCACGCCAATTTTTGGAACAATGCAGATAAGAACGAGGGGAGGAGTCCCAGTTACCCTTCAAGCACATGTTACCTCCTCCAAAAATATTTTTCTGGATTCCCAGGTCTCTTTTGGGTAGAGGTGAAGGGTCTGGCGTGGAGGAGAAGCTCAAGGTAGAATCATTCATTCATTCGCTCATTCATTCGGCAGCACTCATGACTCCTCGCGGTAACGCGCGATCCCCACCGGTCCCAGACTTAGTTCCCGGAGGACAGCGATTCTGTTTTCATTGGGTTGGTATTCCCAGGGCGCAGTTCTTTGCCTTGAAAAGTGAGAACCCAATATATGTGGATGGAGCAGAACTACACGGGATGGCGAACTGGGTTCGGGGTGGGGAAGAGTGGGCGACGCGTCCTCCCTCCCTGCGCCCCGCTCCTGCGGATCCGGGAAGCATGGCGAGGGTGGGGACCTCTCCGGGGCTTCGTGACGCTCTGAACTCCACGGCTCCGAGCCCATCGAAGTGAAGGGACGGTTTAATTGCCGGCCTTCTCCCCCCGTCCGCAGGACCGGGTTGACGCCCCAGAGCTTAGCACACAGTAGGTGCTAAATAAATGTGTGTCGACGGGATGGACGGACGGACGGATGTGAACGCGCCAGCGCCTGTCTGCCCGCCTCGCTCGCTGCGCTCCGCAGGCGGTGAGTTCCTGCGCCTGAGCCGGGCCGGCACCGGAGCCGCCTGGGCTGCGCC